TGAAATTCATGCTCTTGAAAAAGGGGTGCCTCTTCACTTCTGTTGCACCTTCCCCTTGACATCCTAGCCGCTGCTTCACGTCTTTGGTGAGGAGCTGAAATGTGAGGAGCCAAAAAGGATGGTAAGGATGTCAGAAAAGCAAGAGCTCCACAAAGATATTTTTATCTCCACTCAGCTTCGAATGTGCCCAGAGGGAAGTACAGAGGGGAACTGTAATTGCTGTTACTTAATGGCCAGAGTTAAATGGATTAGGACTGCACTGTTTTACGTGCTGGTGAAACCCTTTGAAAATTACCTGCTGTAGAGTGTTTACAGGCAAAATAGAGACTGTTGCTTCTGCTTACTTTCAGTGAACACTTTCAAGAAGAGGTCTGACATACCCTAACAACATATAGATGCATATTCATAAGTCCCACATGCTTTTTTCTCAGGTTTTTTTTTTGTTATTCTTGTAAGAATAATTTTTCCATGTTGCTTAGGCTGAATGTAAATTATATTTCCCTCCACCCATGGCAGTATATTCCAGTACGCCACATGACACACTGAACGAACCCTTTGTGCACATGGGCTTATCTCTGCTGAACTCAAGTTTTGTCCATGGAGCCAGTATCCTCAGTTCAACCTTGTTTGTTTTCAGAGAAGGGCAACACCCCCCCCTCTACCTGCTACAGCAAGTCCTGCCTGTTTACTGGGTACCCGTAATGGAGCAATGGACATTAACTGAACTCAGACACAGGGGTTGTAGGTCCTGGAAGACCTTGCATGGATGGACTAATTGATCTGCAAGCAAACAGTTCAATGGAAGAACAATTCTGGCACAGATTAGTTTGGTGGATGAGGAGACATAACATGTAGCCAAATCTTCAGCAAAATTCCTCTTCTTTTAAATTGAGTTAAGTAGGCTAAATCAATGTCTTAAGAGATCACAACTAGACAGCTGAAAGAGGCAGAGCTCAGCATGCAAATGACTGGTGCAAAAAGACCATCACATGGGACAGGGACATTTCTAAATGTACTGCTGACTTCAGGAAATCTGCTGAAAAGTGAAGGTTCACAAATTTGTTTCCTTTTTTTCCTTCCATTCATCTTTGAAGAAGCCTGCATGATGCTTTCTTAGAGGAGGGAAAATATAACTCCGAACTCACCATAATCTGCCCAGAGATTTCAACTGCCTATTAAAGAGATGCATAACATGTGCTTTCGTACAACACAAAACTAAACATGCACTGAAAACAGTCAAGGCTAGCTTTACTGGAGTCCCTGCTCTGGGAGAAAAGACTACATACTTACACTGCAACATCATGAAGTAAGACCAGGTCCCTTTTCCACGGGAAGGGCATGCCTCCTGGAGCCGGGCATGCACCCCGCCGCCCTGTACTCCGATTTCTAAACGGCTGTGAAGGAAGGGGCGGAGCCAGCCT